TAGGAATAGATTTGAAATAGCTGTTCATATTTTTTTTTAAGAATATAAAACAAGTTCCAACTTTATTTAGGTATGATAAGCATTTATTACAAAAATATTTATGTTTATTATAAAGCATGGAGCTCTTTTAAAATGCAAATCTTTGCAGAAATCTCACCTGAAGCGGCCCAGCAGCTGCTCTCCAGCTCACTCCTGAAACAGGATAGGATGTCAGTGGAGATGCGGGCTCGTCCACACATCGCTCAGAGGCCGTGTTGAAGCTTCATCACCCCGGGCCCTTCCTCTCGCCCTGAGTGGCCAGTGAGGAAATGTCCAGCCTCTTCCCAAGGCCTCAAGATGATGACCTAGCCCTGGTCTCTCCTCTACTTGAAAGATGTGGGATGCTTGGGTGGGGTCCGCAGAGGCCGCCCGGCACCAGCTTTGTGACAGGGACACAGGCTTCTCATGAGCTCCTGAGACTTTTCCTCTGAATCATCATGTTGGCAAAAAATACTGAATATACAGTGACTTGCCAGAAGAACACACAAGTGTGTCTGGAAAGAAATACAGCCAGGATACTCCTTCCATGTGAAGGCAGGGAGACTTCCTCTCACTTACTCTGGGCCTGTTCTCAGGAAGGACAAGCCCTGAGAGGACATAAGGCCTGGGAGAGTCCAGACTCCGAGTGATCGATGGACACTGTCTGCAGCAGAGGCTCAGACACGCCGGCAGTCTGAGCTGAAGCAGGACCAGGCCGTGCTGTGTGCCGTGAAGTATGAGGCTCCTGTGATTGTAACCAGTGCGGTGGCACTCAACAACCACAACATAAAACACACTGCAGGCTCACCTTGTCAGGTGAGGCGGAAGAACAGTGAGAGAATGACCGTGAAAATTGTAGAACCTTCTGAAATAAATGTACAGCAACACACCAGTATTTATGTCATGTTAAACTACAAGGATAAAAATAAAGCATGAGGAGTGAATTAAGTGAGGGTCCTAAGTACTTATGAGCTGACACCCCTGGAGATCCCACAGACAGGACTGACCCATAGCGGGTTTTACCTGTGGCTTTAAAAAAAAATTCATTTTGAAAATATTTATTTTATATTGGCTGGCATACATAGTTTGTATACACTGTGCTTTATTCATGTACATTGTCATGCCATCATTTCCATACATCGGGTCTTGTAAAATTAGACGTCATTGTTCTATGCCCACTATTACCCCATCTTTTCGGATCCCCACTGGGTCTTTCCTAATTCCCTCCCCCACCCTCCTCCCCACCC